GCATTTTAGTCGCTAGCTCTGGCGATCCATCCAACTTAATGTCAAATTCACTGGCAAAAGATTCTGTTGACGAAAATTCTGAGACTAAGTTAAAATTGTCCACATGTACAAGTTATGAATCATTGAGAACAGCATGTGAAAAGTTGAAGAAAAAATTCTTATCCGTGTTTGGTTTGAAGCTGGCAGGGGCCCAACAAGAGTTCAAAAAGTCATATGATCAGGTAAATATTCGTGACAGGCCTTCATAGATGTGGAAAACCTTTGGCTGTACTTATTGTGTTGAACAGACCTGATTTTGCATAGAAGATGTCCGTAATTGTTTAAGGATGCTGTTTAATATTTCCTCTTCTTGGATGCATCTGTCAGACAACTGAGCTCTTAGATGAGAGGGAACTATCTAACTAGGAATGTGCAAGAAAAGGTCTTGAGACAAAGTTTTTTATATTCACACTTCCTGGCTCTCACAGATATTCAGCCTGCAAGGTGGAGACAGTGAAAAAAGAAACTATCTGTTCCGGCCAACAGCTGAAAATTGAAAAAGAATATATCTATTTCAACCAACAGCTTAATAATTTATGCAAAGATGGAATTTTAGAGGACAATCCATATAGACAAGCTATACAACATCCTTTTCACATTAAGACAAAGACTCTAATAATTGTGTAGTATTTCAATGTTAGATGTTTGATCTGTCACATTCAGGAAGTATCTTAAAAAGTATGTGTAGAGTTCTCTTAGTCATTCTGGTTTTTCTGATGCTTTTCAATTCCCAAACTCAGAGACAATTATATAGCAAAAGGAAAATCTAATTAGGTCAATATTTAAGCTTCTTGAAACTAGCTAATAAGTGGGCAGCATGGGCAGAGTGTGTTGGTCCAAAAGAAAGGAGAATCTTCGGTTTGCTCTTCAATGTGCATATAATATGAAACTGGCTGGTTGACAATAGAATACCTTAATGTAGGGAACATACCGATTATTCTTCTGCATAGACAAGGTAATGAGCTTTTGCATGCCCATCTCACTATCTTGGTGACTAAATAATCAGAATTTTCTAGATAATACTATTGTTCAATAGTGAAGTGCACAAATAAAATGACAAGGTCACAAGTTACTTGACTATAGTTGTTTCGCTTAGTTACTACTTATAATTCTCTTATCTGTCTCTCGCTCTATTTAGGAGGTGTAGACTGCCTAATTATTGGCATATAGAAGTATCTAATTTTAGTGACAGTTTTAGAGTTGTGAGACCAATTAGTCCAGGTGTTCTTAGAAGACGGTTTAGACATTTGTCTACAATCAGGATATGACCTACTGAACTCAAAGTGCTTGGGATGTTTTGAGATGATTATTTATGTATTTATTGGATCAGTAAATTATAGGATGTCTACAGTTTAGACCCCTCAAATGTTTTTCTATTTCTTTTTGTACTTGGTCTCTCTGTCTATACAGGCTTTGCAATTTCCATTTACATTCTTTTATGTCCTATATTTGAAGGTATGTAATGCATTTAGTGATAGAAAGAACCAGTATTCTGCTTGGTGGTTGGAAGTTTTACATCATATCGAGCAAAACAAGGACTCCTCAAATGAATTAATCAGGAAAATAGGAGAAGCTGTGTCTGGGACGCTAAACACCTCTAGGGCATCAAAAGTTGCTTCCTGGTTAGTGATGGATTTATTCTTTACTCTATGGTCTTCTCTTATCCATCAAGATAATTTGCTATCATTACTGTTTGATGACAATTGTTGAGAAAGACATTTGAATTAGCATTGCTATTGCAATATATGAATAGTTACAATTTCTTGCATCTTTGCTGGATTTTTTCTTGTTATCAAATCTGCAGTTGTTTTATATGTAAATAAGCGTCAAAGTTTCTTTCGAACTAGTTTTTCCTTTTCCTGGAATCATCTTCTCTAGTGTGATCCTATTTGGTACAATGGTTGGGTAGCACATAAATTGTTTTGTTCAATCAGTAGCTAAAGTTTTGTTTGCTAACATCCGGTAACACATACATGCTGTAAATGCTGAAGAAATGTAGTGATTGCTCATATTGTTTCCAATTTGTGTCAGACGCCTCACCCGGGAGAAATTCAAAAATAGCCAGATTTACAACTGGTCGTTTAAAAATAGCCCAATTTCAAAAGTAATCGAAATTTAGCCACTTTTTATATAAAGATAAATCTGAGCGAAAACACTGTTCAAAACCCGGAAAATACTCCAGTATATTATGCTGGAGTTCCAGCATAAGTATACTTGAACTCCAGCATATTATACTGGAGTTCCAGAATAAGTATGCTGGAACTCCAGCATAATATGATGGAAAGTACACTAGAACTCCAGCATAATATACTGGAGTTCCAGCAAGTATATTGGTCCAGTATAATATACTGGAGTTTGGAGCACCGGTGCTCCGGTCTCCAGTATATTATACTGGAGCCAGCAAAGTATACTGGTCCAGCATAATATGCTGGAGTTCATACACAAGTGCACCGAACTCCAGTATATTATGCTGGACCGGTCTCTATTGCAGCAAAATAGTGGCTATTTTTCATTGACTTGGTAAACGCTGGCTATTTTTGATTGACCAGTCCGAAAACTGGCTATACCGTGCTATTTTTACCCTCACCCTTATTGTTAGAGATCAAAGAAAGTAAGCGGACTTTCAAGGTTGATCTCTGCACCCTTGTACAATGACATGTATATAGTTTGGCAGTGACAGAAGCACAGTATAAGCTTCACTTTTGTGTTGAAGTCGTAAGTGCAATGGATCTGTTTGTGGCGGTGAGGCCTAACGTATGGTGTCAAAGTAGGTAAGAGTTCAAAAAAAGAGAAAAGAAAGTAGATCACAGTTCTGGCATTACTTTTTGAGCAAGTGACATATGAGCCACTTGTAAGGTTGAGTACAGGACATGGCTTCACCTTGTGCTTTAGTTGCATGAAGCATGCTGTTGTTTGAGGAAGGGCTTGCAAACATAAGGGCTTGTAAATATAATGTAGTTGTACGGCTGGGTGAGGACCATTGAGGCCTGTCACAAGTTGCACTGGTGGGTCCCCAACCTAACTAGTTAACTCACATTTATCCACAGGACCAGCGTGTAAAGATATGGCACTGCTACAGTCTACATGCTTTTTTCTTGGAAGGTGAGAAAATCAAGCAGCTGCAGTAGCACTTCAATTGGAATTATACTAATAGATCTTTTTTCTTTTTGCAGTAACCATGAAGCTCAAAGATGTAGGAAAAAATTACCCAAAATGGTCTCTAAGTCTAAACTATGCGGTTTCACCAAAATGGTCCATAATGTACCATCTCGCAAGAAGAACACACATGTGAAATTATAGGAAATGCTCCCAGACACGGTTCCCGTGATCTTTCTCTCTCCTACTTTCTAGGACTGTAGAACAACCTTTTCCGGTGGATTCTGTCGCTGGAAATTAACCTTTTCTTCTTAAAAAATTCTTCCTATACTGGTTTTCACCCACTGTGAAGACTACAAATCCGATACCTTCTATTGATTTTATAGCAGGAAACAAGACTTGAAATGGGGAAAGCAAAATCTATTTCAATGCTGGTTTCAAATCTTTTGACATTACCAGATGGTATTCCAACAAAGACACATGGTTTGACTGGGTGGAGAGAAGTCGAAACATGATGAGACGAGCAACAATGAGTAAAAAGATTATGGAATGGATCTGTTTTGTACTCAAAGAGGCTTCGAAAGACCAAAAGAATGTGGTAAGGAGATGGAAAACAAAAGACAGGACTTCAGGATACTTCTGTACCAAGAAGTACAATAAGCATGGAAGGTATATGAGCATACTTGTCATTACAGGGGGTAGCTAGATCAGTTATTATCATACCTGAGTCAGTCGTAAATGCAGGATGGAAGGATGTAGCAAAGTTTTATTAAATGCGATTCTCAAGTAAACTCCCGGTACCACCCAGAATTACTGAAGTAAACTACCCATATACCAAAGCAGTCAAAGAGAGTAAATGGCAACCTAACATTCCTCATGGAGTAAAGGGCAACCCATTAAATGGAGCCATTAAAATTGCGGAAATACATGGAGCGAAGGATACTGGACTTCTAAAAAGATGCATTATTGGATATTTTGGGAAGGAAGTCAAGAAGAGGCCCGCTTTAGCAGATATCAGGAGATGGGTCTCTGTCTCATGGAGCAAAGCCTTTGGGGTGAATATGTACGACATGGCTGGGAATTTGTATCTTTTCGAATTCCCAAATAGGAACATGGCTGAACAGATCATCCAAGGAGAATGGAGATGGAAGAATCAAAGGTTTTACCTGGAATGGTGGAACCCCATTGCTGGATGTATACCCAACTCCCTCAGTCAAATCTAACTGGATCAGAGCCATGGGAGTACCTCTGCATCTGTGGTCACAAAAGATCTTCAAAGAAATTGGAGAATTATGTGGTGGGTGGATAGCTACCGAAGAAGAGACGGAACTGAGGAACCATCTGAAATGGGCTAGGATTGAAATAGAAGGAGATGCTCGGAATATACCATTGGAGGTTACCATTGAGAGAGACGGGGTAAAAATTTTTATTCCAATTTGGGCGGAAAAACAAACTCGATTTGAGTTAGGGTTGCCGGAGGAGACAGAGTTGTCGGAGATGTTGAAGATCAACGAAGAGTCCAACGGTTTGAAGCCTCTGAAAAACCTTAGGGTAAAGACCTCCTATGTAATAAAGGAGGATGGTCAGCGGTCAGTGGAGCACTTGGGATGTAATGACAACTGTTTTACATTTAATGAGGAGGCACATGCGAGGCATGTAGATGGATTGGGGGAAGGGAAATTATTGGGCTCCTTAGTGGAACCTTAGCTGGATTTTTAACACCAATTGGGCCTGATTTTTCGGCCCTAAGTCATTTTTAATGCCTTCCATCAAAGACCCACAGAAGACATAAGGTTCGATTCTTGCTTAGAAGAACTGAAGCCAGCCTCATGCTCAAAACAAAAGGAATTTCGAATCAACCAAACATTAAATCTCGAGGAAACTGGAAGAATGGGTAGCTACACTGGGAATTCAATTATTTGCATGGGACCAGAAGAAGAAATTGGGGCAGGGATACAGGAAGAAAAGGCAGAAGATGCTATGGCCATAATCAAAGTGGGAAAAGTTCAGTCAAGGGTAGAACCTGGGCAACATCAACAATTGAGCCAACTCAATGCGGAGATTAATGATGAAGATTGGCGAGTCGGAGATGTTACTCCTATCTCTGTTCAGCATCACAATTCACTCCCAAATAAAGAGATGAATGCAACACTTTGGGTACATCAGAATTTAATCAGATTGAGTAAGAGGTTTGGGGTGGATTTTCAGGGTCATGAAGAAGAAACTTTGGAGCTTCTATTGCAAATTGATAGTTGCAGACAAATTAGAAGGATGGAATCAGAATCAGATATCAAAAAGAATAGATTTAAAGGTAAGAAAGAGTTGAAATATCTAGTTTCTTTTGATGTCAAATTCAAAAGTAATGGAAAAAAGAACTATGGGGAACATTTTGCTAGTTATTGAATTATGTTGATCAATTTAGTATCATGGAATGTTAGGGGTTTGAACGATTTGTCTAAGAGGAGGATTATAAAAAGTTTGGTGAGGAGTGGAAGGCAGATATTATCTGCTTTCAGGAAACAAAATTAGAGGGGGACATAAAGGAGGTTATTAGTCAGATTTGGGGAGGGAGATGGGTGAGGTATGCATGTCTGGAAGTTGGTGGTACCAGAAGGAGTATTGCAGGATAAACTTATGAAGAGAGGGATCCCACTGTGCTCTAGGTGCTTTTTATGTGGGGAAATAGCTGAGACAGTTAGCCATCTATTTTTACACTGCAGGATCACAGATCAACTATGGAAGATATTCATTAATCTCAGAGGTATCTCATGGACAATGCCCTCTAAGATCACTGAAGTGCTCACTAGTTGGGATGAAGCTGGAACTGGAGCTAGAAGTAGAGATATATGGAGGACTGTCCCTGCATGTATATGGTGGACAATCTGGAAGGAGAGGAACTCTAGATGTTTTGAGGACAGCAGCAATTCAATGCAGAAGATCGAAATGAATTGTGTCCTACTTTTTTATTTTTGGTGTAAACAAAGTGGCCATAAAATACTGTATCAATCCTAGCAGTTCTAGAATACTGCTAGGACTATAGCTCAGTAGTCCTTCCTTTTGTTTTCTTGTAAATATGGTTTCAGTACAACCTATGTACTGTTATATAAATACACACAAATGTTACCTTCTCAAAAAATAATGGTCCATAATGTATAAGGGATGAAGCACTAATGATCCTCCAAGAGTATACATTTAATCAAAACCTATGGATACCATCTATGTCTAACGGAACAAATTAGAGAAGTCAAAAAATCGTCCTTTAACTTTGCTTCTTCACTCAAATAGTTCCTACTATAAGGAGGACTTATAGTTCTCCAAGTTCTCGAAATTGGTGCACATGTAGTCAAAGTCAACGGGAATTTCTAGGATCGTTTCTCCTCTATAGCCAATTACTCTTGAACCCAAACTAAGAGAATGTGATAACAATTCAACTCAGGAACAAGAAATTAATGGAAAGCAATTAAAGGGATAGAAGATAGATGCAAAGTTTGATAAAAAACTAGCAATAACTAGAATTAAACAACCTAATCACCTCTATCAAAATCAAACAAAGCACCTATACTACTAGGATCCTCAAGAGATTGGAACTCTTGCGAATCCCAGGGCAAGTCATAGAAGCAATTAAGATATAATCTAAGAAAATACTCACCATTTTTTGGACTGTATCTGCTGCAACTGCATAATGGAGAAAAGAATCCCTCAGACTTCTGCCTCCAAGCGCTTGTAGCTCCTTTGTTTAACTTTCTAGTGAAGGGCCTTGTAGGTGTAGGTATGTGACGGAGTGATCAGAGACAAGCCTCAATGGAGACATTTGTGAGCAACGAATGAGTTTCAGTTGAAAAATGAAGGAGAAATCACGCCGTTTGAATGTAAAAGAAGCCTTCTGAAGCTTCCAGAAGTTTGAAAATATCATATATGGACGAGCTTCTGTTGCACTTGTTTGTTATGTTAAATGTAGACCTATTCTGTGGGGTAAAGTAGGGGAGAAGGAAGAGGAGCAATGAAGTGGTTGGTTAGACAGAGAAGTGAGGCGAGAGGCAATGGTTGTATTTGCTGCAAAAGTATGTACATCTGTAGCAAATACCAAAAATTTCAGACGGTTTCCCAAACCTACTCCTGTAGGGCGTTATACTAACATTGATTCAGCATCATCTACATATTTATGCCAAAACAAAAATAACAAAACACAATTCATTTTGATCTTTTGGCTGGAGCTTGGTTTGTCTTCGAAACGTCTTGAGTTCCTTCCTTTCCAAATTGTCCACCATATGCATGCAGAGATGATACTCCGCCATTTTGTTTGTCTTCTAGTCATTCCTGATCCGTTCCAGCAACTCAGCAGTTCATAAGTTTTATCAGGCATCACCCAATATATTCCCAATGTGTTTAGAAATAGTTTTTGTAGCTGGTTTGTAAATTGACAGTGCAAGAATAGTGGTCCAATAGTTTTCTGCCTTTTCTCCACATTGGTAGCACCTTGCAACATAATTGGATGCATTCTGCAAAATTTTCTTGTGTTAGACATGCTTCCTTAATTACTAACCATGTAATAAATGCAACTTTGTATTCCATATCTTCTTCTGTTCTAAGAGGTCCTCTTGCTTTACCTATCAAAAAAAAGAAAGAAATCCTCTTGCTTCAGTTAGAAGCTAATTTTGTTCTACTTAACTCTTTTGAAAACCATAGAAGATGAGAGTTGTGCGATTCAAGGAAATTATAGTATGTTTGGATCTTAGGCCGGCATAGAAAATCAAGAGATATTTTTTATTTGCTTATACTTTTGAAGAAAGAAAAAAAATTCCACTTTCGTATAGATAGTTGATCTGATTTTTTAGAAGCTCAATACCTTTATGAAAAAATCTTTTTAGAAGCTCAATTCTGAACACTGTAATTTTTGGCACCATCTTGATGTATCGTCAATGAGGTATATCATAGAAAACCATCCTACTATTGTATGTATTTCTGTTAATACTATAGAAATGCATAATCTACTAGATACTTTCTTTAGAGAATGAGTAGTTTATGGCTTTTGAACATGAAGTGGTTCTTCTACGTTTTTCTTCTCAAAAACGGCGCTGATCATACTTTTGGGCATATACAATATTTGTGCTCTCTGAATGCTCCTTTCTAGTGTTTTCTTGTGGTTTTGGGGTTGGGATCCATTAGTGGCTCCTCATAAGAAAATCAGCTTTCCTCTTTTATCATTAAAATCATAAAGAAATAAGCTTTCTTTTGTTCTTTTTTAAGTATTTCCATGTTTATAAGTGTGTCTTTTCAATTGTTATTTCAGGAGGTAGAAATGCCAATCTTTTTGTTACTAATCATTTTGCTAATAATGTACTTGCCGACATTGTTATTTGGTACAGTTTCCGCAGCATAACTGCTTTGAAGATTTATATTCAGAGTGGCTTAGATTCATTGGAAAGTTCAAGGGAATCTTTACTTGTTAAGCTTTTTGAAATTGACAAGACAATGGGCAATCCTAGGAAGGAGGATGTTGCTCGTGTTAGATACTGTCCGGAATGCTATGCTGATGCCGATGGGGTATTATGTGTTCACTGCGAACTAAATGACTTGTTCCAGGTCTGATTTTCTTGTATCTTTTTTCTTCCTTTTTTTTTTTGACTACTGAAGTTATCCTGTAAGGTAACTAAATATTGTGATGTGTATCATATTTAGAATTTTGTCCAGGTTATTGTGGCTTAGTCATATTGTTATTGTACTTTCTCCAGGTTTATGAGGCCAGACTTTTTCGTCTTAACAAGGGAAAGCGTGGAGAGGTGATTACATCTGCCGAGGAGGCTGTAGTTCTGCAGAAGAAGAAGTCTGCACTGAATCGTTTCTATACAACTCTAGCCCGAACAGACAAGAATTCAGGTTCAGCTACTGCCGAATATGAACATTTTGGAAAGAAGAGGGACTTAGAGGACATTATGGTGCGTAATGATATTGTTTTCACTTTGGCTATAGCAGCAGCAGCCTTTGCGCTTCTGCCTTTCTGTCAAGTTCTTATATAGACTGCCAAAGACTGGAAGAAGTTAAAAGCTCTTGTCAAATTTTGTCGGACTGTGGTGTTCATAGTAATATAGAATATGTTGAGCCAAAGACTGGAAGAAGCTAGAGCTATATCCAATTATTTAATGTGGTTATAAATACTCTAATGAAGGCAACAGACTTTGGTTATTTACTTCTGTTATTCCTCTTTCACCTTCTCTGGTGAGATTGCTGTTAGTGGTGCTCAGCCTGAGTGGTTTCCCTTTTACCTTGAATGACTTGGTCCGAACCTCTCACATCCACCCTGTAGTAACAAAGTACATATTTATCAAGAATCATGTATTTCATGGAGAGAGATTCTGCTACAGACTTCTTTGAATTTCAAGAAAAGATAAGTTAATACCTAATACTATGATGTCAAGTTAAATGTGTCGCATCTTCCACACATTCTGAATTCACAATTGCAAATTGAGTTCCCCAATATAATATATACAAACATTTCTGTATCTTTTGACTGGTGCAGTGGTGTGATATGGAAAATTTAGATTTCAGATTTGAGCATGAGTTGGGTGTAATATCTCATTCTTTGGTTCTCCGTTTCCTGTCATTAGTCAGGATAAGACCTGCATAGTTTGAAGCTTTGACGTAGGCAATCCTTAATGATTGTGCAATTTTATAGGTGTCGAAAGCTCCATCTGATTTGGAAGTAGTGTTGGGCCTTATTAAAAGTAACTCCCGGGGCCTATTAGATGCTGAAGGTGTATTGGCAGCCAAAAAGCAGCTGCAGCTTCTTGAGGTATCTCCAAATCAATGCCCTTGTCAAAACAGTTGTCTTTTTTATTTGATTTTTTGTTGGAGATTCCATTCTTATGGTCTATCAAAGTCTGTTCCAGAGAAATACTTCACGACCAGCATCTTGACGACATGAATACATGTGTATCTTTATGTAAGGTATTTCACTCTATAGTTCTTTGTAGGGGATGCGAAAGGAGTATGTGCAAGCAAGGCTCCTGTCGACAGCTCAAGCACATGTTCTACGTGCTCATGATGAGATTATGATGGCAACTTCTCGACTACGCCTAAAAGAGGATGAGAATGACAAATCTATTGATGCCTTAGATCAAGGAGAATTAGATGCAGCCAGTGCTGAATGGTCTAGCGAAAAGTTTTTCTTTTTATCTTCTTTATCAAGAACAAAGGGACAACTTCGCTACTTGAAGGTAACAACAGAAGGTTCAGAGTTTTCCTATGTTTAATATGAATTGTTATGAAATTCAGGAAAAGTCACCTGGATGTGTATTCATATCATGCTTCGGTCTTAGACATTACTGGAACTCCGCATTTTGCAATTAAACCAGTTTGGTCTAAGAACTAATCCCAGTCAGTTTGTTGTCTAATCAAAGAAGCAACTCGAGTGGTTGGAATTCTAAATTATCATCAAGTTAGTGCAACATTTAGTGATGAGACAATTGATTTTTGAGAATGCTGTCATTTAGGCATTGATAGATTAGGTAGATTAGGTCAATCTATGTTGCATTTCAAGGAGAGACAGATCCCTTTCCCAGTTCTATATCAAAGGCTTAGGACATTGAAAATACGGTGCAACTGTGAGTGTTCTTCTTGATAGATGGTGACGAGTGAATGCCAAGTAATGCATCATGTCTCTCTTATGGTCTATTTTTGAATTTTTGTAGGTTTGTGATTGCTGATAAAGTTCCAAATTTAGCAACATTTCTGACATTTCGCACAAAAACACGAGCTTCCTTTCTCTTGATTCTAGAAAATAAGTTAGATACTCCTGATGTTGCCACAATATTCTGTTCCTAAATGGTCTTTAAATGTACCCTAGAAGAAGAAAGGTCGAACACTTGAGTCTATGTTTGTGCATGTATTTCTTTTGGCTTGTGGACCCCCCCCCCCCCTTGCTTTTAAGATTTGAGAGGCGGATACAGGCATTTTCCATCTTTAGTAACTCTTTTCTCTGATATACGAAGAGAAAGCCAACTTACTAGTGACTTTGGATGTCTAATTGTTCGGCACTCATATAAAGTGGCATCTCCCCTTCATGTGTCAAGTTTACAAACAACTGTTTCTTATCTGCATTAGGTGTTCGAACTGATTATGCGTGTTCACAGT